ACCATCTAGAGCTGATCACATACACTTCATGGAATTCCTCTATTATCGCTATGTCAGATCAACGCTTAACGAACCTCTTCGAGTAGCGCTAGGCCCGAATGGCTGTGACTACCGTACTGTACCAAGATGGCGCTCACAGCCATTTTGGAATCATATTTTAATATAGTTCTAATTATCAGGCAAAATTCGTTTCCTAAATTGACTTGTCATGATAATCGGCTGAACCACAAGAGTATATGACGTGTAAGTCGAAGCGACAGTTGTCCAGTTGTGGGCTCGAGGCGAGGGATGGCGACCCATGTCAAATGGGCTAGCAAGTAAACCTCGCAGCGTCGTTGTGCGATTGAACTGATCGGTTAAATTGTATGTGTGACTGGATCACTATATAGGCAGAAATACGACTAGACATTTTCCAGGAGCTCCCGTGTCCCTTTGAGAGCTTCAACAGCTACTGTATATGAGACAGTAAGAGCATGACATAATCGTCTGAACGAATAGAATCAATGATATAGCAGCCACTGTGACGTTTGGCGTAGTCAGGTAAAATAGTTGACCTGCCTGCCTCTCTGTCTTCTAGCGATTCGTACATATAATCTGTAATGATCAACCTATGGCAGCACCAGGGATAGCTCCACGCAAAAGCGCAATTACAGACGGAGCTGTGCATATCACTCACGACCGCTAACAAAGATTTTCGTTTGCCAAGCGCCCACAACGAAGGCGTTTCCTTCATTCACCCTTCGGTTAAATATAACAAAGCTGTTACAAACACATTGAATTAAATTTGTAAGTCATCTCATGCTCATTTCTCTATTTGATGTATTTTATTTTGACCCGAAGGAGCGATGAAGACAGGTGATTGCGGTAGCTTGAGACCGAGTGGAGCCGGACACCGCTACTGAAGGAATTGGCCGTCTTTTTAGAATATTTTGTGCTTGTGAAGTCCATATTGCAATCGATGAAAAGTTTGGCAAGGCTTTTTGTCCTGGTAGATAATTATTAACAAGTGATAGAAATCAAATCCTGTTTGGATTTTTAGTGTTTTCGCCATTTCTATCAATAGAGTTGAATATTTAGTGATAATGATAATGATATGTCGTTTTGATATAATGAGACATTCCGACATAATGGCAGAACGTATGACAGCATCAATACAAGTTTTCTGTGTTCAAGAATTTTGTAAAGAAAAACTTGTAGGTAAAAAGTGATAAGGTTTTTCATTTCTTGAAAACATCCTTGTGTTCTTGGGCTGTGTTTTTTTCCTTACGAAGGCTGTGTTCATCTGTGGCCAGTTGTGGCCGGCCGGCCGGCCGGCCGGCGTTCGCCGCTAGTTGTGAGTGCAATGGCTGACAGGTAAACAGCAGGCCTTTTGTCGGTGCCGGGTTTGGGACAAAAGCCTGTTCTTTCTTTGCTCATTCCCCTATTACTGCTGTTGCGGCTATTATACTTTGTATGACACTCACTTGACCGATCAGCGGTGTTGTCGTTCGTAAGCCAGCAAATAATTTACAGCATAGGTTGGTTAACGGCAGCACGGATTACGATGTCGGCAGTCATGATTTGTGAGCATAGACTCTAGTGGAAATCACGCCATCTTGAAATCAAACCACTCCGCCGACGTCACACGCCATAGGCCACCACAGAATAACGAGTTTAGCCAGTAGTACACACTGACTACGTGAGCCGCTGACACTGAGTAAGCGACCGGTACGCGCTGACGCTCTTTTGTACGCATTTCTGCCCACGAAGAGTGTTCGCACTCTAACCGGCACTCGCGCAGAGCTCAGCTAGAAAAGCTAGCCCGGTCATAATACATGAATGTTAAACGAGAACTAATTGCCGACAGAAGCGCTAATAGGCACGGTAATCGCAATCATCAGGAAAAGAGCGTACGGTGTAGAATATGCCCCCAAGAATCGTTTGTTGTTAGGACCTGTTTGTCTTCAGAGATCTGTACCATTCTACCACCATCTGTACTTTGCTTAAGTCCGTAGGAGTTATTCATGGCCACTGAAGAATGTCTTTGCCAACACACACTTCCCTCTTGTACGATGTTTCTGTTAATATAATATAAACATGTTACTTTTGTTCCTTCGCACATATGCATATGTTCATGTCATAACGGCAGTAGTAACCTTTTGTATCGTCATACGGCGGGAGATCAAGATGAAGGACACCAATTCAGCCAGCAACTGACATGAATGCGCACCTTTCGTGAGATCCGACCGAACACCCAAATCTGCCCGACCATGATTCACTGTAGACGGGCTCAGCGATGTATGATGAGTTTTTGTCATCACGACGATAACAACAATACCAGACGCAGAAGACAAATCGGAGTACCTAAACAAAAATCTGATGAAGCTTTTGATCATCATCCTTTATCGTATCGTTTGTGGCAGCGGCCGCCAGCCGTGGCCACCGTTCATATGTGTATGCCTGAAAAACACCTGAACTGCAATTGCACAGATCAGAAGTTGATCGTCGCTGTCTTCGTCATTTTTGCTGCTGTTGAATAAATGCATTCACGTGAGTATGCCTTGCTTACCAAACACTGTGTGACTAGGCGTGCCCAAACCCAGAGATGCGTCTTTTTCGAGGACGTATGCATGTGACAAATAATGACAGTGGTTACTGGTCACAGGAGACGCAGGATGCTCAAATTGCTTACTGTTTGTATGTACAATTACGATCATCACCGTTGTCACAAATGTTAACCACGCCACCAAATCGTACGGTCCACCTCCACACAGTGCACCATGTGCTTGCTACGACCAGACAGGCACAGGTCGTCCGACCAACTGGTGTTCAGCCCGGATCCCCCGTTGAACGAGGAGGTGGGGTCGAGGTGAGCGTCGTGTAACAAGTATCGATAGCACCTCAAGTTCTACCGTTGAAAAAGAACGACAAATAACCACCTTAGAACCGCACGACGAGATCACCTTATGATTGTTTGAAGCAGAATCTAGTAGAACGGATGATAATAGGACAAGCAAATCACACCGGATCGAGAACTGATGAAGAAAAAAAGGCGTGAAAAACTCGACCCGTCCTATTATTCGTGCTGCCACTGAGGTACCTCGCCGCTGCCATCGACAGACGGCTATGTATAACTGTCCGAATGTGCTAACCTACGATTGTACCTGTGTGAGTGCTTTTCGTCAATATTCATAGATTTGCTATCTAGGTTTCCCGATTATTCTTTGGGCATCTTACTAGCTTGCTGATGGAGCACGGACTTTTTGCTCAGCGGTTTATTTAGCTTGTGTCGTTAACCGCGAGCCTTCAGACATGTTTGAAATTCTGGCGAATCTGGCCACCTAGTCAGCAGCCCCGTTCCTCCTGTATCAGAATGCAACAATAGCGACAATGTTTGCCTTTCATTTTTTGAGCAGCTGTAAGATGATTACTTTATATCAGCTTAATGCCCCTTCACGAGCATGCAAACTCCAATAGCTTTTGCTGTTAGCAGTTTGATTATTAATAGGTCTGCACTATAGTTCGAATAAAGAAGATGTGAGTCCAAAGCGTAGATGCGCCTTCACTTACTGCATGTCCAGTCGAGGCCCATATATAAACGGCTGGGCAAAAAAAAAACTATCTGATATTATTAAAAAATGAGTCCTCTTCTTGAACGATTTCAGCGCCGCATTTTTGACTATTTGACAAACTGACCATTGAAATCAATACTTGAAGCATATAGTAGTCCAATAGAGCTATTCTCACATTCACGTCGTGATGGTCGTTCGTGCTTTTCGTGGCTTTTTACTATCTGCTATGGACCCATATTTAATAACCACGTAAGGTTGCGAAAAAAACCCTACTCGAAGTCGCTTCGGCCTTAAAGAAACGTCTCGGTCCACAGATTCGTCAAATTTCGAAAGCTCTATCTGAGATAGGTATTTGCCATTTGTTAGTAGCCAGCCGTTGAACTCTCTGTCGCTTTGCTTGGTCGGCTGGTGTAGACTTGCGATTTTAGGCTGTACCGCCCATCAAACGGACAAAGTATGACTGGATCAAGCCTAATAAAACAGTTAAATGTATGGCCTTTACCGTCTACGTCCCTATGCTTCTGTGTTCGTAAAAGTTCAGTGAATGTTGGTACTGTCTGACATAGACTTACGGACGGTGGGGAAACTTGCGAGATAGTACTCCGCCTTTCAGAGAGCCGAGGACAAGCATGCGCTGAAGAGATGCTATCTATCTTTAGCTTTCAGATAGTACGCTGTCTGGTCGCCATATCGCTCAGGCCGAATCGCATTCGAGAGACAGGGAAACGGACAGAGAGGATATCCTGTGTGGGCCATGCTGATAGCAGACATATTGTGCAGACATTTTGTGTCGACAATGCCGACCAACCAAATCGAATAGCATTAGTAGGAAAAAAAAAGAACTTCGATCCGCGATGCATCTATACGTTATTGTACAAACATATCGTTGATTTGATATCTTTTCATCACCAGTACTAACTACAGCTGCTGCTGCTGCTGCTACCAGTATGGATAACCAACGAATTGGACGATGCCATTATGAATGGACGGTGGTGCTTTCAACAAAAAGGCGACGACAACCAAAAAGTCTCAGAGCGAACAACAACAGCGATGGCGGAGGTGGATCTAAATAAAATAAGATAAGAGTCTATACGAACGGGAATAGTGAAAACATTGTCTATTGCAATAGAAATGATGATGCCGTTCTAAATCAGCCGATGCCGATTCAGTCGTTTGCTGTTGTTGGGCTTTACATACACAGGTCATCATGGTATCTTTGCCGTACCAAATCGAGCAGTCGTTATGCGGGGAAGATCTATAGGGCCCAATACATGAGTTTACCTTTGTTTATAGAAGCGTTCTGTAATGAAGTTTAGATCCAGAACCTTCAATATACGATGCCACTCGTGCATGTACAGTCACATTCTGTCGTTAAACAGACAGCGGTTATCGTATCATTCTAGCCAATTGTCCATTGTGGGGAATGTATTATAAACTGTTTTTTCTTACCTGTTCTTAGCTGCGGCTGCTCGGTCTCGTTGTCTTCGGTTCTTGAACCAGTTGCCGACCTGAGTGGGGGTTAGACCGGTGGCTTGCGCCAGCTCCCGTTTCTTGCCGGGATTTGGGTACGGGTCCTGGAGGTACCATTCGCGCAAGAGGCTGCGCGTACGCTCCTTGAAGCAGTGCGTTTTCTGCTCCCCGTCCCAGATTGTGCGCGGCAGTGGGAACTTCTTGCGCACGCGGTACTTGTCCACGGGCCCCAGGGGCCTGCCGCGCAGCTTCTCTGCTTCCTGGTAATGTGCCTCTAGCCACATTGCCTGCAGCTTCGCGTGCGACGACTTGGTGAAGCGGTGGCTCTCGAGGATCGCGTACAGTTCGCGGAAATTGCCCGCATGGAAGGCAACGAGCGCTCGGGCGCGCAGGACCGCCTCGTCTCGCTGCAGTTCGGCGCAGTTCGGATGCGCGACGGGCAGCGACCAGAGGAATCGAGCTAGGCGTTCGAGATCGCCACTCTCCTCCAGCGTTTCGCACACCGCTGCCACTTGTGACACCGAGAAATTGAGCGTTGGCAGGCCAGCGGAGGCCGGGGAGCCTCGTGAGCCAGGCGAGCCGGGCGCACTCGGCGTGCCGCTTGGTACTGAGCCGGTGCTGCTTCCGCCGTTATTGCTTGCGTTGCTATTATTGTTACTGTTGTTGCTGTTGTTGTTATTGTTACTGTTAGTACTTTGCCTTAACGGCGTCTGTTGCGAAGGCGGCTGGGTTAGGCCCCCGGCTGAGCCCCCGCTAGGGGCCCCGGGGGCCGCGCTGGGCGGCGAGGCGGGCGCTAAAGGGGGCGTTGTCGTCGTCGTATGCGAGTGGGCGTTTAGGGCCGCGAGGGCCAGCTGCGCGGCGGACCCCTGTAGGGCCGCGCACATCATTGCGTTCACGTTGGCCAGGTTCACTCCGTTAACGCTCAGGCCCGGGGAAAGGCCTGCGGGCCCTAGACCTGGATGCACCCCAGGAGAGAGCACGAGCCCACCGGGTGTCAGGCCTGCCCGGGTAGGACTCCGGGGAGGTTCCATTGACACTGATGAAACCGGGAACGGGTTCGGAAGCAGTTCTTCTTGACAAACAGATGTTGTTCAGTAGTTTTAGTTAGGGTCCGCTTGAAGTCTCGTTACAGAATAATGATTGAACGAGATATGGATGGTGAAAAAGGGTTCGTTAACGATGATGATAAAATCAATTATGAAGCCTGAAGGTCTACGTAGGAGGGTAGTCCTGAGATTAGTAGTCGCACGATTTCTAGCTGGTTGTGGATACAAGTTGTCAACACACAATCGCACCTCTTACTCTCTTTTAATTTTACCCCAACAGCACTGAAAACACATAGACACTGTTTTCTGAGTACAGAAACAGAACGAAATATAAAAAAAAAAAAAAAAAAAGGTGAAGAAAAACGAACTATTGAAAACCCTTTGCAGCACTCAGCGGGGGGCACACGAAAGGCTACCCACCGCAACGTAACAACTGATATCACACACTGATCCGCACTAGTCCATCAGGTCGGGCATGTTCTCTGATTCTGAAACTCGTGAAACACATCTTAACTTGAATTCAATGCTACTGCTGTAGCTTCCTTTAAACACCTCCAGTCCAACTCTCCCTAGCTGACGTCAGCGACTGGAAAATACGCTGGAGGTTGTCGATGGCTCACGAATATTGAGGATGTAAAAAGGACTTGCGTGAGAATTTCGGGTGCGGATCGACATGCGATCTCAGGAAACGCCTCGAATTTCCTTATTCGTTGAATGTTCGTTCATACGTCGATGTTAAACAGTTAAGAAAACGGCGTAAAAGGTTGCTTAACTGCTACGATAGCCGTCGTCACTGGGATAGTTGAACTGCCTTCGTAGTTCGTATAGCAGTGGTCTGCTTACGGCAATGAATCATTGGTATAACCTTACATATACACACCGCTATCAATAACCGATATGACACAACGATACCATATACTTATCACTAGTACTGGTCAGCAGGATCACTGGGCAGGACAGCTGCGGGAGCGGCGGCAGCAGCAGCAGCAGCAGCAGCAGCATCAACAGCATCGGCATGGTGTCATCAAATAGTAGCCGTTGCAGCAACAGCACCCGGACTATACCATTCTGTGTTCTTGCGAAATTAACAACGACTACGACGATCACGATATCGTGCGTCGCGGCCAGAGGATATCTGTTCGTCGACCCAATCAGATGGACGTCAATTAAATCGAGCATTCACACCAACACACATATACACTCGCCCAATGACTGAGCAGAAACACGTTGCCGTCACGTCATTAACGTTAAAGCCGCTATCGAAGTGGCAAGCATTTAGTGCGGTGTCTAGTCCTTCAGTACGTCCCGTCCTTTGCTATCTAATTCACGCTGCTGTGGTACGTGCTGGCGTAGCAGCTGGGTATTCGCGTAAAGTTTTTGCCAACGGCGTCCCTCCAGTGAGCAGCACCACAACTGGGGCCCTCTGTCAAGCTAACGCGACACTTTTTCAGTGTAACTTCGGGCGAGGACAGTTGCAGTTACATGTCGTCATTGCTACTTTACAAGCGGTACGTTTCTACGCAGGAAGCAATCCGCCGTTGTTGTTTCCACTCCGAAGTGACCTATTCTCTGAGTGTCTTCGTACCACTGATGCTTGTCGTGGTATCATTGGTTTGTTTCCTCGTCGTCGAATGAAGACAGAAACAAATCAGCGGGGGCGGCAGTGATTGAAGTGCCGTTGCTGTTGTTGCCGTCGCGTTTGTCGTCCTGCCGTGCTAGTTGTTCTAGTTGCTGCTGCTGCCCGTGGCGGAGCGGCTGCAGTGGCCCGGCGGCGCCAGCGACCAGCGGTGAAATGGAGCCCCATGAAAACTATCTCCCAACAGAGACAGTTCAGCCGGCAGCTCAACAGCAGCAGCGGCCGTAGCGGGCCAGCTAAAGCAGAGGCAGCAGCAGCAGCTAGGCTCTCCCCAGCGGCAGCAGCACAAGCAGCAACCCAGTCAGTCCGCCCGTCAATTCTTTCGTTCGCTGGCTGGCTGATGCGTACGGCTGTTGCTTGCCTGCCTCTCTGTGTGCCTGCGTTCGCCTCGCCGCTTGCTAGCGAGAACGAGAGGATGGTCTTCTTGGCTGCTGCCGTTGCTGTAGCGGTCGTCTATCGGTGGTAGTGATGGCGGCGTTCGTGGTCGCCGCAGCAGCGGCGACGGCGGCGGCGGCGGCGGCGACTGCTGCGGCACCAGCGGCAGTAGCAGCAGCAGGCCGTTCGGCTCGGCTCAGCCTAACTTAGCTTGACTACGAACGTGCGAGCGACGCCGGCTGGGGGACGAACGATCCCTTCTCTCCTCTCCTTCAGAATGCGGCCGGTCGGACGGCCGACTGGTGCCTTCCTTTCCTCCAGCGGCAGCAGCAGCAAAAGCAGCGGTCGTATTCGTTGTAATAGCAGTAGTGAGTAGCAGTCGGTTCTGAGTCTGCGGACAGTGAGTCGACCAAAGCAGTTGGACCCGTTACAATCGGACAGGACGGCAGTGGCAGCAGCACAACACGGCCTCTTCCCGAACACCGCAACGTCTCAGCCCGAAGTAGTGGGCCTTCTCGAGCTGAAACACGGAGGAGAGAAGCGGACAAAACGGTGCCGTGCCCCGACTATAGCTAGCAGTCGAATCGAGTCCCAAGTTCTCTCGGCCTCTGTTCCTACTCGGCGGGCATAGAATCGCGCAACCCCCCCCCCCCCCCCGCCTGCCGTTAGTAGTGCTATTGCAGCGCCAATCGCCCAACCAAGGAATCCAATACACACTCACGCGCAGGCAGGCAGGCAGGCAGGCAGACCGACCGACCGACCGACCGAATGATCCAGGGCGAGCTGGCAGGAAGAAACAAGGCGGCGGACGCCGTCTCACTCCACGTCTCATGCACACGGACAGACACACTCAGCAGTCCGAGGGATGGGGGGGATAAGGGGGATAAAACAGCATTAAAGACACAGCAATCCGATAGGCCGACCATGATAGCTACATCCTGAGCCCGCCCAGACGGACGCCGCCAATCGCCGCCCTTAAGCAAGCTCCGCCCGAACCGCTGCGCCGGCCAGGAGAAAGGGAGATGACATAGGCGGCACAGAGCTGCAGCAGAATAGCTGAGACGCAGATAGTACAACCCGAAGTCTAACAGTCACATGCACACACACACACACACACATGTACACAGGCATATACAACAGAGCGATGCACGCATACAGCCGGACAGGCCGAAGGAGCCTTGAGCCGACTAGTGAGCAGGGACCAGCCGTACCGATAAAGCGTCGAGAGTGGGGTGGCGGATGGCAGGCAGGATCGACGAGGGGAACAACGGTGCCGCTGTCTGCAACTGGATCGGTCGTGGGACGACGATGCTGGAAGCGTTGGGACAACGTTCATACACCCGCTCACTCATATAGATAGATAGATAGACAGACCCATACAGGTCGCGGCGGCGGCTGCCGCGGCCGCACTACAACCGCGCACCCGGGCATAGGCTTGGTCGCTCACCCGCACGCAGAGGTCCAGTTACAGACTCGCATAGTGACACTGACGAAAGAGCCTGCTTTCATCCTCCACCCAACACCCGCAGCATTCTCTCAGAGAACAACCTCCACGACAGGACGCTGTTGCCATTCCTCTAGTGCTTCATTGGCATGCTTTCCCTTTGGCTCTTGGGCAAAAACCGCAACGCGGATCTTATGCTATCCAGCGCTGGTGCTATTGTACAGCGTTGCTTGCAACTGCACAGCCATTATCAGACATCGGCCTATTCGTGTGAAGAAGGTCGTTTGACGAGTGGAAAATAGATTGCGTTGGGTGTTTTGCCGACGGGGCATTGACGTTGCTTGTCAATATGTTTAAGAACGATGCCAAATCAGATTTTAGATGAGCTCGGGATGTGAAGCCGTGTCTGCTGTGTCGATTAGGCACAACTAGTTGACACTCTAAGCAGACCGTTGTTGGTGGAATAAGGCGTTTTAGTGGCTTGTGCTCGTTGGCCTGCATAGCCCGGACCTGCCAGATCCGTGATTCCGTCTGCAACGTGTCCTGATATTCTTCGCAGAATACACAGCGCACTAAGGTATATTGGCGCGACTCCAACCGGTGTCTTCAACTAAAGTAAACAGACGTAGGAAGATGGCGTCATATTGTGTCCGATTGTAGCATAGATGTTAATAAAGCAACACGTTTATTAATAAAGTTTACGCTAGAATAAACAGTATAGCCCACTATCATGCGAATTCACCAGGCTATAAATAACCACATGTACGAAAGACTAAAATAACTACGAGATACAAACTGGCAGAGCAAACGGGAAATAACGTCCTTTGTTCTCCACCAAGCGATTGCCTGCTTTGGGGGCTTTCTGCTGTGATCCCGTTCATAAGAAAGCGGGTCTTTAATATAGAATTTAAGGTTTTTTTAATAGATAGGTGGATATATGCTCGCAGCAGTCTCACTTTATTCTGGAATCACGTAAGATGATTATTATGGCTTAGGTATCGAACTAGCAATCCTATTGCCAGTACAGTTGAGGACCAAATAGGCCATCTATTTAGGTAACCTAGATAATGCACGAATACTGCGGACATGGATAAATGTGTACCTTGAAAATAAGCAAATGTCACTAATGCAAATAAACGATTTCAGATCCAATTCGATTATTTACACTATTGTTGAATCGTATACATCGCAGAAGAAAATGTTCCTCGATTGAAGTCCATAAGGGGTGTTTGCAAATTTCCGTTAATTAAGCTTTCAATCAACCTGTTCAGTTGAGGTGACTTATGTGGGATGGATTTCAAATATAATTCGCGACGAAATGTACTGAGAAAGCCGGTAAATTAATTTCTACTGCTGCAGGTGTTACAGCTCTACAACCCAAAAATGTCTTCTCATAAATCACATAAGTTATGTGGCCTAATTTGTCTGACTGTACTAACACCTGCCTACCTAGGCCAGTCGTACCATATATTCCAGTGCATACATGTGGCTATAAAATGAAAACGAAACTTTTTTTTTTTTGAAGAAAGATTGCCACGACCGACAGAGCGCTAGAGTCAAAGAACTTCTAAGGTCTTTTCTAAGAGAAGGGGTACAAAACTAGGCAACGGATGAGTGGTACAAGGAAAGAATAGCGTAGCTGGAGAGAAATTGCGGCAGGCAGGAGTCGCGAGCCATCGCATAAGAGAAAGCTGCCGGGTCGGTTAGGGCGAAAGGGGCATGATGTTTCGTGTCCTGACGTCTGCCTACGACTCATCCCCCTCTGCCTTAGGCAACGTGCGATCGATTTCCTCGCAAGAAGACCCAAAAGCGTTGTGAATACTGCTAGGCAACAGCAGCAGCTGCAGTGACAGCAACCTGTCTGGATATTCCCGAGACTGCCAGTAACCCCCATACCGAGTTTTAAACCCCTTAGCCCCAGCT